AAGAGGAGAGGAGAGGGGTAAAGGAGCAATGACACACAGAGGTTTAAAGAGGAATGGAGACGAGACAGCAGCTCAACAAAGGCAGAAGAGCAGTGTGAAACAGGGATTTGATACTAACAGGCAATACTTCAAGCTTTTCACACAAGTGAAAGGAGTGTCCCGCAGTATCATGGATGGAAGGAGCAGGCAGTGATAGTAAACAATGAGACAGGGAGAAAAAGAGATGCAGCTGAAAACAAACAGGCAGAGTAGCATGACCAGAACAGAAAACTCTTTATTAGCTGGAACCAGGCGGAGAGATGTGGCTCCGCAGGGAATTAGTAGGCAGGGGGAAAGAAAATACTTTACACATGATGTCTTCATCTTCAAGGTATTGAGCTGTGTTTGCCTTTTTTGGTATCAAACATTTGCTGAATATGATTGTTGTTAGTTTTGTTAAGTTGTATGTAGCGTGAAACTATAACTAAATCAAATCTGAAACAATTTACAGGTTATTGGAAAAATGTATCTCCAACTGTTTTGATCCATAGCAGCTTTCTACACCCAAAGAAAGGGGCCCAAATCTGCTGGTCCGCGCCTCTCCAGAGTGAGGGTTTACTGCATGTCTTTGTCTCATATGTTAGAATACTGAACATCTTCAGGTTTTAGGCTTTTAGTTGGACAAAACAAGCAATGTGAATAGTTGACCATGTGCTCTGGGGAATTGTGATCTCCATATTTGTTTTCAAATGTTTACAGTTAAAGCAAGTTGTCTGCTAATCACAAAAACAAACAAGCAGATAAATCAACACTGACTGCAGGCCTTAACCAATGACATTTGATATTGTAATGTTGTGTTGTAGAAGCACTCATCTTCGAAGGGATGTTCAATGTACGTATCCACCAGCAGGTTGCTCTTTTCTTTGAACCAGCCATACAAGGATTTGAATCCCCAGCCCTCCCCACCTGGCTCCGCCTTACACTAACATTTACTTTAGAATATTATCTTCAAACAGGGCCAGGGAGCCGCCAACTATTCTTCACTCCCCTGCTTTATGTTCCTCACCTTATTCCGTCTCTTTCATTTTTTTCTTTTTTTCTCCCCCCTTTCCTAATTGTCTGAAACTCTTATCCCCCCCGTGTCTTACCTCTCTGCTCCCTGTGTGGCTTTCTCCTGAGGTCAACCATTCTCTGGTGGCTCTTGGCCTGTTTCCCATCCTCTACATTCCCCTGGCCTGGCCTTGGGTTGCTGTGGAGAGGTGCGCTCATCCTGCTCTTTTATTTCTCTCTTCCTAACAAACTCCAAGTACCAACAGTAGGCAGACACGTTGTCTTCTCAAAGGTCACTTTTCATCTATGTTCGTATAGATCTTAACACAGATCTTAAAGGAGAACAATCTTTACTATAACAGCTTTCAGGTTTTTTCATCCCGAAACTATTTCAGTTATGATTCATTCTGTTTTTAAAACACTATGTTCTCTTGTGTTTTCTCTCCAATTAATACCACCCTTTGTCGAATAGAAAGCTTAAGATTAAAACGAACTGTTTACTCTGAAGGTATTTGAGCGAACTGAGAGGACAGCTGTAAAGGCTAAGCTGTAGCTTTAGCAGGAATTCAGAGCAGCGCACGAGGCAAACTCATTTGACTAGATGCTCCCATAAAGCCTCAGGGCAGATCAGATAAACAGCCAGTTTGACCCCGAATGTCAACCAAATGATGATTATTTATGCTTGCATTTTTGGGCTTCACTCACCTGAATGCCAGTTTGAAATGAGCATGTGTATTTGTTCTTCCCTGAGTGCTCTGAAAAGTGCAGTAAGTGGAAAATCACAGTTGTGTTACTTAAGGTGTGTCCGCTCCCAGTGCACATGTTTCCTGTGCTGATTCAACATGGCAGCTAATGCAGTGTTGACCCATCAGAGACACTCAGACATTGCTCGGGATGTAACTGCAGCTCTCAGTAAATGTGCTTATGTGTTAATGATAATGTAGACCTTACAGCATGCTTGTAAATGCTGCCTCACTGTCAGGACAATACTCAAAATAAGAGAGTATTAAGTCAGATTTGATTAATTATTTGGGATTCCAAAAAATAAGAACATCTCTATTGACTCATGGTACTTCAAAGCTAACCATCTATGGACCAATGTACACTTGTAATGACATTAAAACGCCATTACAGGCAGGAATAGCTTTAGAAGGATGAGTGCACACTAACATTGTTTTCATGGATTTTCTTGTCAGCAAGTGAAAGCTATTTAAAAAAACTGGACAGTTGCTGCAGCAAGGGACAAAATGCACCTTACATTATATTACATTATATGTGCTATATGATAGAATGAATTGAAAAACAACAAAACTAAAACTATGATCGAAGTTCTAGAGCTTTCACATGGCATCAGTGTAATGCATTATGCAGAGGGGTTTAGTTCTCCTAATAATGCCCCGGCCACACGAGGACGAAAACGGCTAAACGCATAGGATTAACGCAAACGCAATCGCAAAAAAGCTTCCGTCCACACGCAATAGTCATCCGGATAGTGTCTGTCCACACGAGACAGCTCCGTTTAGCTCCAACCGCTGGAGAAGCTGCAGTACATATGCAGGAGCCTGTACGTGGCGCTGTAACTTCCTCCACAAAAGCAGCGAAGAAGCATGGTTGTCATGGTTGCCCTTCTGTTTATTCTCCGCGGTGGGGGCCGAGGGAACCGGGCAGTTTTTCGCCAGTCAACGTGTATTAAAGTTTAAATCTTCCGACAAAATTATAAAAGTGCCGGTCAAAGGTCTTCTTTGTTATTTATTGAGCTTTAAAACAAATGAATAACAACTCTATATAATATAATAATAAAATACACGGAGCCTCTCTTTTTCCTCCCTCTCTTTGGACAGCGTCAGTGTCTGTCTCATGCAGCAGCTGATCCAGTAATGAGTGACCCGGCCGACAGTAACAAATAAACATATTTATAACTAGTTTAGGTAGTTTGAGAGGTGTCTCCGTCCTGTCAGATTAGACTTCACTCGCATTTATGTCCATATCGAGAGAAAGATAAATAATCTGTAATTCAGTGTGCAGTTTACTTTGACGCGGGGGTGAGCAGCAGAGGTGGGGAGAGGCGGGGCTATTGCCTCATCATTATCAGAAAATGATCGTATAGGGCGTACACACGGAGCCGTTGGACCCCCCAGAGCGTTGCGTATGCCGTTCTATCCACCTTGGGACCCGTTATCGTTTCCGCAGTCGTTTAGTGCCGTATTCGGTCGTCCTCGTGTGGCCGAACGGTCTGTATGACACTAAACAGTAACGCAAACGACCGTTTTCGTCCTCGTGTGGCCGGGGCATAAAAGTCTCCATTAGAGCACTTTGTACCCATCAACATCAGATCCAGTTTCTGTGTGAGTGTGAATGAGTCAGATGCCCCTTTCACACCAACGCATTTTCAGCTCCGGCTCGGAGCTGGAGCCTGAAAAGTGCCGGGTTTTCCTGTTCACACCGCAGCGGCGCCGGCTCTTAGCTCCGGAATCCAGTTCACTTCCAGCTCCAAAAAATTGTCGGTCTAGAGGCAAGAGCTTCGGAGCTAAGAGGTGGCGTCGCTTACGTCTCTCTTACGTCGAGGCGTGCAGGAAACTAAACCCTCCTCCCCTGAACATGGGTCGACTGTCATGCCTGCCTACAAGCAGTAGTGCTTATAAACACACTTTATAAAGTCAGGCAACACTAACCAGGCTTCGTGTGATTCTGTTTATTTGTACCTTACTTTGACCGTCCGTTCATTGTTATTGATCATTGTGGAGAGAGGCAGACGTTTTGTTTTGTATTATAGCAGCTATCGGATGGAATCAATACATGGGCTGCACAGGTTGTCGTGTCCGACTATCACGAGTAGAATCATAATAAAAATACGCCGGTAAAATGTGCCTGTAGAAAACGGTTTATATAGGATAGGATAATAGGATAGCAATAGCATGTAGTCAGTTTAGCTTCGGTTGCTATGCTAACATCACCCATTTTATACTAGAGAAACTTTCATAACAGCGTTGTGATGCCAAACAGCGTCAATTCAGACTGACACACATTCACTTAGGCTAAGGGGAACTGGGGATATGTATCAGCTGCTTGTGTGAGTCGGACAGTGAATACTTTAGAGCGGCAGTGTGAGCTAACCGGGAGCTAACGGAGGAGAATAAACTCCTGTGGAAGAGCAGCCAACACTGCAGCGGTCGGTAAATGCTGCAGAAACACATTAATAAACAATGAACCACGGCACTCTGGAGAAAAGCATAAGGTTGGAGAAGTCGTTATTTAATTTAATCTGGCTTCGTGTGATTAAAAGCAACACGATCATCGACCCGACGCAGTTGTTGTTGTTGTTGTTGTTGTTGTTGTTGTGAGCGCCGTAACGCCGTTGGGGAGCAAATCAGCGATGTAAACGGTGACGTCATGACGCAGCAGCGGCAGCACCAGTCGGGCTCTGGGCGGTGTGAACAGAGCGGGAGCAGAAAAGGGAAACCGGAGCTGAACCAGAAAAGCTCTAGCTCGGAGCTAGAAAGGGAAAAGCGCTGGTGTGAAAGCCGCAAGAGAGACCACTTTGTATCTGAATGGATCTGATTCCTTTGTGTGCTTCAGAGGGAGGGGATGCATGTTCTGCAAGAGTGTCTGTGTGTTTAAGTCCTGTTGGAGCCCCTCAGAAAACACAGATATGTTGCATCAGCTCTCTGTTGACTCTGTGGGCTGGTGCTATCCAGTTTGGAGGACAGCTTACCAACATGCACACACATTTAAAATGTAATTATCTGTGCCATTGGGACTGGAGCTAATGATAGAGCTCAGCCTTGTTCTAATGGGCTGTCAATGCACCACAGTGACTGTAGTGGTGAAGGCTTTAAATGGGTGTGCAAACAAAGCACTAAAGTAAAGGCACATACTTTGTTAGTACAAGTTTGAATATCTTCATCACTGAGGGGTTAACTAACATACTGGTTATTATTTGTGTTGATATCAGTGTGTATTTATTCCTGCAGGTAAAAAAGATGGCAAAGATCTGTGCTTTGGTGTTAATGACACGTGAGTATAATTTAATCACAGTATTTTTAAGAAATCCTTCTTCATTACATGTCCTTTATACAGCATCCACTTCTTAAAAAGTCAGTAAGTAAATCCATTTCATAAGCAGTGCATGAATCAGTTTTAGTCAATAAGAGAACCCGTGATTTGTTTTCCCCACTTCCTCTGGAAGGAAATTCTGGAGGTGTTCTTGTCACTGGTTTTCCGGGTTGACCCCCCCCCCCCCCCCCCAACTCTGGATTTTAAACTGTCTAAACGTCTGATCTGATTATGTATCCTTGAGAAATATACTATCAGAAAGTGAATCCCAAACTTAGTGAGGGCTGAAATAAAGAGTTCTGCATTAACAGTCCTGAAAAGGTGAGGGGGATAACATCAACAGATCCTTAAGGGGTTGGAAAAGAGAAAACATGGGATGGATAAGCGACGAGAGATTGAACAGGCAGGGTTTTATCTATCATATTTAAACAGATCTGGATTTCCAATAAACGCAGCAGGATTCTAAAGGTGTTTCACTTATTGACACTGACAGATTAGATAATAAATGATTCCAGATAACATTTATGTGCCTGTCCTTCTTCACAATACCGAAATGTTTAACATTAAGTGTGTGAAACCAACATGACTGAAACTATTCTGAGTATAATTACATTGTTAACGACACGTTTTTATTTTAAAATATTTCCAAGGCAATGGGATTGAGGTTTTTTTTGTCTTTTTCAAAAACCAAATGAGGTGCTAAAGGTGTGCTTCACTTTATAACCTTGTCTCTTTCTAAACTCTTACAGTTGTGTCACTGGGGTTCGCGGAAGAACAAAAAAGTAAGTAATAATCCCTCAACAGTTAATATTTGAGTAATACCAAAAAGTGGTTCCATTTAAAAAAGGGATGTCTATAGTTATTTGTAAAAGTAATAATATATAAGAGGACAATAAGTCTTTTTTATTTAGTTACATTTTTACATGTTTGGAACGGCACTTTTCGGGTGTAATGTATTGATTTGTCAAACTAAGCCACTGTGTTTGGTAATCTCTCTGTTTCTGTTTACTCTATCTGTAACTGTTGGGCTGTACTTGTGAAAGCTTGTTTTTCTGCTGCTCAAACTAACTGAACATATTCATTTCTGTTTCTGCAGTGGAAGAAGACCCATTTAACTTTGGTAAGTTACTATTTTCCTACATATTATTTTCACTATCGTTCGAATGTGTTGAGGGTTAAGGGTTTTTTCAAATGTTTACCATGTCTCCTCTGTGCAGACTACCACCAACTGCGAGTCGGAGGCCTGATTCTTGCTGCTGTCCTCTGTCTCATTGGCATCACCATCCTGTTCAGTAAGATCCAAATTATGCACACACCACATTTCACCTTTACAGTCATTAACCAACACTGCACAGATACACAGATCTAAAGAAAGTCCACTCTTCTTGTCTCTTGTTTCAGGTGGCCACTGCAGGTGCAAGTTCAACCAGGACAAGAGGTGAGCCTTCAAAACATTAAATACTTGTTTAATTATTGTGGAAAATAGGGATATCAACCTTACTTTACAATCCCATAGGAATGTATTTCTTCGACCATTTTCTTTTTATAGACAAGCCTGTAGTTATAGTTGTGTCCACTAGAGGGCATTACAAAATCACCAATGAACATTTAGAATGACAAAATGTTTTGTTTGTTGACAAAAATCCAGAAACATTCCACAAATGTTTTTTTTGTTGATGGAAGTGGCTGGTTTCTGCCATTTCTGCCAGCAAGATTTAGAAATCTCGATTGTTCATCAAATGTGTAAAAAAAAACTGTGTTTGCACTTGTGGGTAGGCCATCCGTTGACATCAACCAACACATATTTAAAATAAATACACATTTTAATAGGCATTTTAGCATTAGATTGATATATTATTGTTTACTCATAAATTCCATTAAATGTGTTCCTCTAGCCAGAGTGGAAACTCTCAACAAAGAACCATTTAAATGTATTATAATACTGTAAAAAAACAGATAACAAAGTTTCAAAGAGGATTGAAGTATCTTGTTCTCCATCTCTTACGCTCTCCTTTTTTCTCTTTGCAGAGCGAGGACAGGAAGCAATGCTCAGCAGATGCTTTCCGACCAAGGTATTGTTTGTTCACCTGCCAGAAAAATGTATATTAACCTACAAAGGAAATGTTATTTGTAGTTATAGTTGACTGTAAATGTCAACAGAGAAGATCACCTGTGACCACAGACACTTGACAGAAGAATTTTTTTTTGATGTTACCTTCAGGTAAATGTATAAATACCTGTTTATAATAAAGAGATATAGATATAATAATAGTAATATTAAATATTAAGTTTCATGAAAATATTTAGTTTAAAATAAATAATACTCGAAATAAACACAATTTAAAAAAAGAAATACTGCATTTAAGGTATGCAATTATATGTCGCATAATAAACAGGTTATACTCTCCCCGAATACTTCATTACCCAGTTGTCCTGTTAATTTTCTAAGGTTATATTCACTCTGTCCATCTGTTTCTCACACGCAGACTGACACAGTATGGAAGTCTCCCATGGTGATGGCCTCAGATGACATGTAGCTCGCTGTCTAGCAGGTGGTGCTACTCTGGGAGTCTAACATTCAGAAAGGGAGTGGGGGAAGAAGCGAGAGGCAGTGGATGGAGGCAGCATATCTTTTTTTTATGTAGTGGGGTAGCCATGGAAGATGCCCTCTTGAGATGCTAATTTACAGTTTGTACATTGCTAAACTAAAGCCAGTTTAATGCTGATAATGTCAGTTTGACTTTAACAGCTGTGATGTATGATATGCACAGGTGGCCCATACGGAAAAACACTGTTTGAGTGAGGGTGCGTGTTTGTCTATGCAAGTGGAAATTGCCATGGCAGTATGTCCTGGAGGCCTTTGCTGACACAAAACACACACACTCACACACAAATGGACTTTTCATCCATTATTATGTATATAATTTAGGCAGAGGAAGAATTGTAGTACTTGGGATCTGAGAAACTAGCTGAGCAATCGTTATTGTTAACAGTACAGAGTTGGTGAAACACAACATTTTAACATGAAACTGTAGTGTTAATTTCGTCAGCTATTTTTTTATTTTGTTTTAATCTTAGTCCTGTGTTAAATTTCCTTTTTAGTTTTAGTCATATTTAGTCACCTTCATCCTGTTTTTTTTTTGTCAAGTTTTTGACTAAAAGTCTGAGCATTTGTCTTATTTTAGTCAAAGAAAACTAATTATTTTAGTCTACTTTTTGTCAATGAAAACTGTTGAGTCTTTTTTTGTCATCAGATTATATAGAACATTTCAGTCAAAAACTAGTCTAGCCAAAACCAATAACTTGTCATTTTAGTCAAACTTATTTCACAATAAGATTATATCTTGTCCTTATTTGATGAAAAACACAGGTTGAATGAATAAGAAAGAAGCTTTCCAGAGAGACTCTCTGAGAGAGTCTATGGTCAGGTTTGTGGTGTTTTTACCAGCTGTGTTATGGCCACATTGCTTCCCTTCTGATAAAACAATGCATTTGCTTTATTTCTCTGCCTCATTGTAGCGAAAATGGGCCCAAATATCACATTGTTTATTTCTCCCAAGCAGTGGTGGCGTTAGACTTTTTCATTGTCAGTCATTTTGACGGACAGGATCGTAACATTTCCGTCACAATCCATTATTACCCGTCGAGTCTGTACACAACTCGTCACTCACTCGCGCTGACGGGGGGGGGGGGGGGGGGTATTCGTTCGGTTAACGCGACCACTGCTCCCAAGCTATGTTGTTGCCATTTTATTTTCTGTTAAATACGGTTAGTTAGACCATGAGTTAGACCCGAGTCTTCCTGACAGTTCACAGTGTGCCGCTGCCCGGTGTAATTCAAATGTACCGCCGCGCGCAGCACGGACACACAGCTGCTGCCCTGCCGCAGCACCGGAAATGGAACTGCTAGGAGAAAAACTGACTATCAGAGATAATATTTCGTCTCCTCATTTTTCGTCAACGAAAGTAAAGAGAGATTTTGGCATAGTTTTTATTTAGTAAACTACATTTTCGTCTCGTCACTTTTCGTCAACGATATTGCATGTTGATTTTGTTACAGTTATTGTTTACTGCCGTCGGTGCCGTCTCGTCTTCGTCTCGTCTTCGTCTCGTTTTAGTCATGGAAAAAAAGGTCGTTGACGAACATATTTCGTCATAGTTTTAGTCAACGAAATTAGCACTACTTCGAGGTAAAAGCCTTCTGAACGCCTGGATCTTACAGCTCTGGAAAAAATATATAGACCACTCCAAATATTTATTGGCAGCAAATATGTATGGCCGCCATTCCATTCCAGTGTCTGTTGACTTCCAACATGGATGTATAATGCTTCCAACACAGAGAAATGTAAATTTTACTTAAACACATATCTATAAATAATAAATCCAGAGATATTAATATTTTTGCACTGGTCTCTTAATTTTTTCCAGATCTGTATATTATCAGAAAAACAAACTGAGAATATGCAAGTGGCCCAACGGAACCTCTGTTGTCTGCCAAAAGAAAACTAAACGTAATGATATTCCTGAAATTGAAATTAGGCTTAAATAGTAATTGAACCACAGTGTGATTCAGATCGTCAGAAGTCTGTGTAACCGAGTCTTTGGAGTTACTGATCACATTTTCAAGCATTAAAGTAATCATCTGAATTTGGAAACCTAACCTTCTGTCTGTCTGCAGGTCGTTCCTGCGAATGCTAGATGTCGACCAGAACACACACTGACTTCCCGAACCTGCAACCATCAGATAACACGGAGGAGGAGCAGCGGGATTTGACACATCCAACGAGAGGCTTTTGTTTTACTATTAGAGAGCAACAGAGAGTAGTCTGTGTACGGCTGTGAGGTGTGATGCTTTCTGCCTTGTAACTGAGCTACTGATCTGCAGCCTGCATCTTCACACACACACACACACACACACACACACACACACACACACACACACACACACACAATGTGTCACTTTCATTTCAATTTACAGAACACGTGATTTAGAAATAAAAAAGGCTATGACACAAATAAACTGTCATATGAATCTGTTTGATTAAGCTGAAAGTAACCTCATACAACAGTTAACAGAAACTATTTACCAAAAAATTCCTTAAGTGTCCACATGCTGAAGTTCTCTACTGCCGTCTGCTCTGTGTGTAAGGTCAAACATTGATGTAGATATTAGTCGCTTATTGTGCCAAACCTAACATTCTGTCAATGCTTTCATGTCACATATATGAAATCCACCTATCATGAGTCTTTAAAATGTTGTTGATTAATCATAATTAGAAGTGAATTCCCATGTTTAGCTTTATGGAGGAAAGTAGTGGATTGTACTGTTCAGAAATACAGAAAAACTCTGTCATGTTTCTATAAAAGAACCTTGAAACAAACAAATATAAACTATGGAGTTTTTTTTGTTTGTGTGTCCAAGATCCAATTAAATTATGATTCGATTTTTAAGGCCTGAGAATATGAGATATGGAAGTATGCAGTCGAGGCAGTGTTCAAAATACATAATTGATCATTTTTTGTATATAAAAGTTTTAATTTTTTTACTTATATTATTATTACGAGTATTGCCTTTGTTTGTTTTTTAAAAACCTCCTGAGTATACCATCCTTGCATTTCACTGCACATACTAAAAAGATAAGCATGTGACAAATCAAATCTCCTTTTTTTATGTTATTGCATTTTAACTGTTATGTCATTCATGTATTTTAAAAAGAGCCGTAAGCACATCAGATATCAGTGATACATTTGACCATAGTAAGCTTTTACTTAAACCCGAAGAAATTTCCTTTTTCAGCAGTCATGTTCTACTAAAATATTTAAACTGTAAACAACATTTCAATTGAACTTCATTGGAAAAAAACTCAAAAATAAATCACTGAATTTGACCATTAAAGGTAGGGTAGGTAAAACACTTTTTGTTATATTCCATGGAATGCTCTTAACATCCCGATAGCAATGAATACATTAAATGCTTTGACAATAAATATATACATATATATTCATCTGTGGCGCTGTAAAAAGCAAGTCCAATTATCTGCCCCGACTCGGGTCAGATAATTGGATGGCCTACCTGCCTGTCAGCCTTCCATCTCGTGCACAAACTTATCTCGTGCCCTCATTGGTCATGTGCACATTCGTGTGTGTTGGAGGAGGGGCTTTGGGACCTTATTTCAGAAGAATTATGCATTGAAGTCAATGGCGAGAGAAAAGTGATCTTCCGATCCCGTTTGAATTGTGCCACGAATTACACATATGATGTTTGTCAATTTAAAAGATAATTTTGCAAGTGAAAAAAAAAATGTTTTGCCGTAAAACTGTGAAGTAAGACTTTGTGTGAAACCGCTCAATGAACTACATTTATGGTCTCGCAAAACAACACACGTCACTGTGGTGTTAGCTGTTATGCTTTTATTGTGATAGAGCTAAACTAGGGAGAGGGGTCTGCCATATTGGACAAGTCCGGACGGCAACCCAAGATGGACACTTGACACTGGCTTTTAGCACAGCTCAAAAAGAAAAACCGAGAGAGATGAGTTAACTAAGTTTAACTTCTGTTAGACAGCCATATGCCATACATTTTTGCATACATTCACAGTAAATATTTATTCAGTATGATAGCTGTCTAACAGAAGTTAAATCCATGTATCACTTATTCTGACAATGTACTTAACCCCAAATAAAAGAACCCAATAAAAAGAGTTGTTAAATCATTGTGAAGTCACGTTGTAATAACAATAACTCATCTCTCTCGAGTTTTCTTTTTGAGCTTTGCTCAAAGCCACTGTGTCAAGTGTCCATCTTGGGTTGCCGTCCGGAGTTGTCCAATATGGCGGACCATCTCGCACATGCGCAGTACCGATCGGGCAGGGGGACGGATCGGGTAGTGACAGTGACAACCACAATGGGCCCTTCTCACTTCGGTTAAATGGATTCCTTGCGTCCCTCACTTACGTCGTTTCCCTGCGTCTAGTCCCTCCCACCAGGGAAGCATGGAGGGACGCAAGGAAACCACGAGAAGCAGGGAAATTAGTTTTAAGAGCAATGGGACGTCCTTTCCTCCGGAGCGTCACGTGAAGCGACGTCCGTTTGTGATAACGCTGCACAGCTGATCGTCTGACAGCAGCTCTGTTCCCGTTATTTTCACAAACACCCCCGCCTCTGTTAGTACACATTTACTGACACAAACATTTGTATCATCTGTTGTAAACCCAAATAAATAAAATAAAATAAGAACTAATTCTCAAAAAAGATAAACGCCATTCTTAAAATGTATAAAAGAACAATAGTTTGATTAATATTGATTAGTGTTGCAGCCAATTTGATGTATTTTAATATTTGTATATGAAGGTGCTGTGATACTACCAGTGCTGGAATTGGGCCGGTACTCACCGGTACGCAGTACCGGCACTTCTGGTTCTGACCCATGGAGTACCGGCACTTCTTGCTCAGTACCGGCATGCTGGCGGTACTCCGGTACTCATGCACCGTGCCAGTACTCAACACTCTCCCGCCGTTCTTATTATACATCCATATATATATATACAGCCGCCCGGTACTCAGTAGATGCGTCATGAGGTGCCGAACGGACATTTTCATCGCTCTAACCGCTGGAGTTTCACAGCGGCTGTCAGCTGTTTACTCCTGTCATTCAAACAGAACGTGCTGGAGAGGGGGCGGGGCTTATCTTCTCCATGTAATTACTGTGGTGGAAACGACTATGTCAAAATTAACCTATTTGACCGTGATTTAATAGTAATACACGTTTCAAAATAATAATAATAATAATGCCGAAGTAACAACATACTGAAAACTGTTAGTAAAACCATGTTTTAATGCTTTACAATTTACATACCTAGATGCACGTGTGTTGTGTTTATGCAGTGCAACTCCCACCCAGTGGGTGGCTATGTAGAGTGATAGAACAGAGCAGGCACGCCCCCGAGAGAAGGAAAGCAAGTCATGTCACAAATTAGCATTTCTAAAATGTTAGCGTGGATTAATAAAAGTGCAAAAAGACAGCGGTTGTCGCCGGAAGAAACTTCAAATACAGAGAATGCTGTGCCTGTGTTGGAAATTGTGTCTGATGGGGAGCTTTCTTTGGTTGATCCTCCTGCTCCAAGTTCTAGTGCATTAGCATTAGCACTAGCTCCGCCGCCTCCTCCAGAGCCTCTAACGTTAGCTGCTGCTGGCGCAACTGCCACCACCAACACCGGGCAAAGCGATGCACCTGACTGCTGGACAACGGACCAGGTGCAATATTTTTGCAAGACCAATGCATGGCTCCTTCTTAAAGATAAGAAGCTAGGATGTCGGATATGCAGAGATGTCAAATCTTTGGGAATACACACTGGACAAGGACTGAAACTGTCAACTGAATGGGGTGAGTGTGCAGTGTCTCATTTCGGTGTTGACAAGGGCAAACAACAAGCTAGCCTGAGAAAAAAAATCAAAGAACATAAAGAATCACAAGCCCATGTAAAAGCTGCTGACATCCTTACATCTGCTTCAGGTGAAACTATTCAACATCAAGTGCAGTCTATGCATACATCTGAATTAGACACCACTATCAGAGTTTTTCGAACGGCATATAAAATTGGCAAACATAGCCGGCCATTCACAGACATGCCAATTGATTTGAATGTACAGAAACTGAATGGGCTGAACGTGGGCAGGGTTTTGCACTCCAATAAAACCTGTGGCGAAATCATCGACCACATAGCTCATGAGCTGAAGAAAAAAATGGCAAAAGACATTACAGAAAACCAAAGAAAACTCTGTGTTTTGGTCGATGAATCTACCACTATTAGTGGTAAAACGGTGCTTGTTGTGTGTCTACGCTCAGCATTAGCTGATGCTGAGCCCGAAACGTTTTTTTGGGAGCTGATCGAGTTGGATGGAACAACGGCTGATGACATCACAAAGGCGTTAATGGAGTGTCTTGGAAGAGATTTTAACGAGGACTTTTTAGGTCAGTGTTTCGTTTCTTTTGCATGTGATGGGGCTTCAGTCATGCTAGGGAAGAGAACAGGCATTGCTACCCAGTTGTGTAGTAAATTCCCAAGCCTGTTTGTGTGGCACTGCTCCAATCATCGTCTAGAGCTGGCAGTTGGGGATGTGGTCAAGGAGGTCTCAGGGCTCAATCATTTCCAGATCTTTTTTGACAAACTCTATTCCTTGTTCCATGCCTCCCCCAAAAATCAGAGGCAGTTAGCGCAGTGTGCGCAAGCAGTCGGACAGCGTCTCTTGGTGATAGGGCGTGTTTTGTCCATCCGCTGGGTGGCTTCAAGTGAAAGGAGCGTCAGAGCAGTCTGGGAAAACTACCGAGTGCTTCATGATCACTTCACAAATGCTGCAAACGACACGAGCAGGGATTCCAGAGACAGAGCAAAGTACAAGGGCCTGGATGATGTGCTCACATCTGCAACGTTTGTCAGCAATCTGGGACTGATGTACGATGCGCTCACAGAGCTCAGCGACCTCTCTCGGCAACTCCAAAAAAGAGAGATGACACTGCCTACAGCAGATAGGCTCTTAACTCGAGAAATACGAGTTTTTGAATCCATGGTCACCATGCCTGGCCCACACATGACTACAGTTCATACAGCTCTAGCTGAGAAGTCCTTCAAGGGTGTTGCCCTGCGTGAGAATGGCAGGCTTGTACAGATTCATGCAGGTCAGTTTTTCCGCAGTATGGTAGAGAATCTGAGATACAGAATGACTTCCACAACCTCCTCTCATGTCAGCACAAGAGAAATCCCATTACATGGCCGGGAGGCCCGGGACAATCAGCTAATCCAGGACATGAAAGTTATCCATCCTGGAAGTTGGCCTGAAGAGGAGTTAGACGTACAGTATGGGGACGTAGAGGTGCTACGTTTGTGCGAAGTGCTGAAAGTGGACAGAAGAGAGACTGTTCAGGGCTTTCGCGAATACAAGGAAACCAGGGCATCCCGTACACCTGCTGCCATGGAGCCTCTACTGAAAGCAGTCCGAACCATCGTTGTCTCCACTAGTGAGTGTGAGCGGGCATTCAGCTGCATGAACGATATCCTTACTGCAAAAAGGAATGCTCTCTTTGTCAGCCGACTGTCCAGCCTGGTTTTCATTAAATGTAATGGACCATCACTAGGACAGTTCAATCCGGAACAGTATGTCAGGTCCTGGCTGGCAAAGGGAAGGAGAAGTGCTGATGAAAGAGCCTGTCCAGCTCCAGCCCCTGATACTGATGTCCCCAATGCCTTCTGGAGCCTTTTCTAACAATGTGAAGTATATTGCAAAGCAGCTCACCCAGTGAGAAGACTTTTGGCATAATGTGCCGATTTGTACAGATCCTGGAGATAGAAGGACTTCAGACCAACCAGGGAGTTATCTGATCAGCTTGGTGTTCAATGTAACTCTTTACCATGGCTCAGACTTTGTTACTTGCAGTTACAGTTTCTCATTTTAGATTGTGCAAATTTTGCATTTGTTTTTACATGTTCTTTGTTCATGCGCTTTATCATTTTTCTGAGTTGGAAAGTTAGATTGCATCATAGTTTACTTTATACATATTTTTATTCTTCAGTGGTGAAGTATATTGCAAAGCAGCTCAGCCATGTGAGAAGACTTTTGGCACTTTTTCGTTTTTCGTTTTCTGAGTTGGAAAGTTAGATTGCATTCAAAATGTACAGAAATACTTAATTTTGTTAAAGCTTTTTATAAAAAATGCTTCTGACCAGAGCTTTGTTTCCTTGTCATTAATGTTGAACACCACCAGAGGGGCTCTCACCTGAAAGGTCTCTGCTTCATGTGTCTTCAGCAGAAGATCTAGACTTTGATTGCTATATTTTCAGTTAATATTGACCTTACTGAGCTTTAGCCATATCCGCTGCCTATCATAAAAAATGTTAAGTACAGTGAACCTTTCTAAAATATACAGTAGTAAAGAGACAAACCCACCAGCATTATAGTAGCCAAATTCTTGTTTGTGGGCTGTATATATAAAATTGACTTGAAAAAGTTGCTGATTTTAGAGTACTGGCACCTTTTTCATTCCAATTCAAGCACTGGATACTACTGAATTGACCTGGGCATAGGCGGGGACTCAGCCAATTTCAGGGTACAGCCTACTATTTAGGGAGGACACAGGTGCACAGCATTAGGGATTGGGAATCACCAGAGGGAAGCCACACAGTTTTTCAACCGTGCGTGTTTTCGCTTATTTTCTGTTTGTTTTGAGTTAATTTCAGTTTATTTCTTTATCACAGTTAGTTGTTTAGTTATCAGTTAAACACCCGGCTCTTGTTTTGCTGTCATCATCCTGCAATCCAAATAAACATCTTAAATGCACTCAAAGAGAAGACCTGATTTGCTGTCAACACCACGCGTCTGGAAAAGCTTCACACCATATCCCTCACCGGCAAATATTTGTTGTTCGGTTGCCTTTACATTTGTTGAAAAACTCGCTTCCAAAGACGGATGGACAGAGGAGGACAGCGCTGTATTCATTGACTTTTCCCGACTTAAATCCATGTTACGCACCCGCAAGAGGAACGGGGACGGACCAAACATCAAAGTCACGGTAGGAGTATTTATGAATGAATAAAAGGTTGCGGAGGAGAGTGGCCTTCACGCAACGGGATACAGGCAAATCCCATAAAGTAATTATAAACAAAGCCTCCGTGGATTGCTAAATAATGGCCATGAGTAACGAGGAAAATCAGGAAATGAACGCAGAAATGAACGCTGCTGTCAATCAAACTGAAAAGGAGGATGGGCTTGGTAAAAGGACAGCTAAACTCACATATAAAGCAGCGGAAGCAAAGATATTATCTATGCAAAAGGATAGGAACTCTGGGATAAAGCAATTGTGTAAAATGGCAAAGGAATTCGAACAAATGATGATTTCAGATGGAAATGTTTCTGACATGCAAATCAAACATGAAATGTTGTGGAAACTGTCTGGGGAAACTACAAGGTTGCATGAGTCATTAAAACCTTTGTTGCCTGAGGATGAAATGTTTAAACAAACGGAATGGTTTCCAAATCAAATGCACAATGTTAAAGGAGTAATACACAAAATGGAAAAATGGGTCCATGCAAACAGGGAGAAATGCATACAGGTTGTGGATGATGAAAATGATGTGTTACATGCAAATGAGGAGCTGGATAATATTGGGCCAAATGACAGTATTGGTGACAAAACAAATGTGTCAGGTGGAAGCTCTGGCCATTCAAGGTCCTCAAGGTCAACAACGTGCTCTGCACGTATCAAGGCAGAGGCTGAAATGGCTGCGCTCCTGGCTTTGGAGGCTGCTCTCAAGGAAAAGCATGAGCTGGAAGCTCAAGAGGCTCAAATTAGGAAGAAAAGGGAATTGCTTGAAGTGCAAAGTCAGATTGCTGCGCAGACAGCAAAAGTCACAGTACTCCGAAACAGAGGGTCTGACATAGGAGTCACAAATGGAACAAATTCATATGTGTCAAAACACGAGTCAGCTCTCAAACCCTCTGCTGTGCCATTTGTTCCACAAACTTCAAGTTGTACCGTCCATCATCCACCAACAGGAGGCAGTAAAACTGCTATGTCAATGAAAGCACAATTATTGGAGCCAAACTGTCAATACAATCATCCACCAACAGGAGGCAGTAAAACTACAAAACCCACTCAATCACATCAAAATCCATACAACCAGTACAATCCACCAACAGGAGCTGCTAAAGCTGCAATGCCATTACAGTCTCAGCAGCTACAGGATCCATACAACCAGTTCAATACTGCAGCTACAATGCCAAGTGGAACAGGGGCACGGCGCAAAGAAACCATTTCACAAGGAACCAGATCAAAAACGTATGCTTTAAATCACATCCCAAGCATGCCTCAAAGGTCTTTGCAGTCATATCCCAGTGCATATACACAACAGCAATGTATCCAAGTCGATGAGGACCAAGGCAGAATGCCTCAAAGATCTCGTCAGTCATATCCAACTGCACAGCCATCACAGCAATCAAACCAAAACAGGGAGGAACCGGACCAAGGCAATATTTTCACCATCATGCAAAAGCAAAACGACATCATTACATTACATTGCATTTAGCTGACGCTTTTATCCAAAGCGACTTACAATAAGTACATTCGACCAGGGAGACACAACCTTGAAGAAAACAGAATCATATAAGTACATCAGGTTTCATAGAGCCAAACATTTCAAGTGCTACTCAACTGGCTTTAGATAAGCCAGTCCTTTATTAGTATAAAAGTGCTTCGTTAATAGTTCTAACGCTCGAAGTGGAGTCGAAAGAGATGAGTTTTCAGTTTGCGCCGGAAGATGTGCAAGCTATCTGCCGTCCTGATGTCAATGGGGAGCTCATTCCACCATCTTGGAGCCAGGATAGCAAACCCATGTGTTTTTGCTGATGGGAACTTGGGTCCCCCTCGCAGCGAGGGTGCAGCGAGTCGTTTGGCTGATGCAGAGCGTAGTGCACGCGCTGGGGTGTACGGTTTAACCATGTCCTGGATGTACGAAGGGCCAGATCCATTCGCAGCATGGTAAGCAAGTACCAGTGTCTTGAAGTGGATTCTAGCAGTTACCGGAAGCCAGTGAAGGGAGCGGAGGAGCGGAGTGGTGTGGGAACATTTAGGAAGGTTGAAGACCAGACGAGCCGCTGCATTCTGGATGAGCTGCAGAGGTCGGATGGCACATGCAGGTAGACCAGCCAGGAGGGAGTTGCAGTAGTCTAGGCGTGAGATGACGAGAGCCTGGACCAGAACCTGAGTCGCTTTCTCTGTCAGCTGGGGACGTATCTTCCTGATGTTGTAAAGCGTGTATCTGCAGCAGCGGGTTGTAGCAGCTATGTTTGCAGTGAAGGACAGGTTGTTATCTAGGGTCACACCCAGATTCCTTGCAGTCTGAGTCGGGGAAACAACTGAGGTGCCGATGTTGATTGTTAGGTCAAGAGTGGGACAATCTTTTCCCGGAAGGAAGAGCAGCTCAGTCTTGTCAAGGTTGAGCTTGAGGTGATGAGCAGACATCCACTGAGAGATGTCAGCTAGACAAGCAGAGATGCGTGCGACGACCTGGGTCTCTGAGCGGGGAAAGGACAGAATTAATTGGGTGTCGTCAGCGTAGCAGTGGTAAGAAAAACCATGCGGGCTAATGACTGATCCGAGCGAGTTTGTGTACAGGGAGAAGAGGAGGGGACCAAGAACACAGCATTACTAGTGCAACAGCAGTCTTCATTATCATTACCCCCAAGGGACATACCAGTGTTTGATGGAAACCCTCTTGAGTACAACTTATTTGTCAGAGCTTTTGAAAATGGAGTGGAAGGAAAAGCTGCTAGCAGTGTAGACTGCTTATACTACCTGGAGCAGTACACTCGAGGGCAACCTAGAGAGCTGGTCAAGAGCTGTCAACACATGCCATCTGACAGGGGGTATCAAAGAGCAAGAATGCTTTTAGAAGAACGCTTTGGAAATGAGCAAAAAATAGCCACTGCATATATGGAAAAAGCACTTGGATGGGCACCACTGAAGTCAGAGGACATCAAAGCCTTTCAAGCATTTTCACTATTCCTACGCGTCTGCTGTAACGCTATGGAGGACATAAGCTACATGTCAGAAATGAATATGCCATCAAACATACGTGCTATAATCATGAAGTTACCATACAAACTGAGGGAAAAATGGAGAAACATTGCTTTTGAACATCAGGAGAGACGCCATCGTCAAGCAGGTTTTAGTGACTTGGTCAATTTTATTGAGAGACAAGTGTCTATTGCATCTGACCCACTGTATGGAGACATTCAAGACACAGTTGTCTCATTCTCAAAATTCAAAGTTGGAAATAAAGTGTCACAGGGAGAAGGAGAAAGGAAGCAGTTTCGCTACATCTGTGGCAGCTGTTAACTCTGAAACTCAAAAGGAGAAATACTTACCTGATAAGTCAACAAAGGGACCTTGTCTGCTGTGTGAAGAGGGCCACAGATTGGAAGTGTGCCCCAAGATGGAAAAGAAGCCGCATCGGGATAAAATTGATTTCCTAAAAATGAAAGGTGCTTGTTTTGGATGTCTATCAGTTGGACACATGAGTAAAGATTGTCACAGTCGGCTGTCTTGTAAGTTGTGTAACCTGAAACATCCTAGCATTCTCCATATCCATGCAAAGGAATGGAAAGAAATCAAGTCAAAGGACTCACAGCAAGAAACAACAAGGATGAGTCAAGCCACTACTCCCAAGACATGTGGCCATATAGGAGCCGGAGCACAGGATTGCGTCTTGTCAATTGTGCCTGTAAAGATCAAGGCAAAGAAAGGCAGCACAATTCTAAAGACCTATGCATTTCTAGATCCCGGCAGCTCATCTACTTTCTGCTCTGAGCAACTGATGAGGAAGCTAAAGGTGAGAGGAAGGAACACTAAATTCCTGATGAAAACAATGAATAAAGAAAGCTTTGTCAACAGTCACGTCATCTCAGGATTAGAGGTAGCTGCACTCAATGGTAACATCTATATTGAGTTGCCTGATGTGTACACCCAACGCAAGATGCCTGTGACTCGTAATAACATCCCACAACAGGAAGACTTGTATGCTTGGCCATACTTGGACTCTCTGGAAATTCCTGCTATCGATGCTGATGTGGAGCTGTTAATTGGAACTAACTCTCCAGAAGTATGGAGCCATGGGAAGTGATAAACAGCAGGGGTAAAGGACCTTACGCTGTTAGAACCCTATTGGGATGGGTTGTCAACGGACCATTGAGAGGAGGCAATGAGTGGGAGTAGCTGCCCCACAGTCACAGCCAACCGCATATCCATTGCTCACATAGAGGAACTGCTGGTGAAGCAGTACAACCATGACTTCAATGAGAAATCAGCAGAAGACAAGCCAGAAATGTCCATAGAAGATCTTAAGTTCATGCAAATTGCCAACACTTCAGCTGAACTCAACAATGGACATTACTGCTTGAAGTTGCCTTTTAGAGAAGAGGACAATGTTGTCATGCCCAACAACCGCCATCTTGCTGAGCAAAGGGTCCTCTGCCTAAAAAGGAAATTGGAGAGAAATTCAACATTCAAAGAGGAATACACCAACTTTCTTGATGTCATAAACAATGGCTAGGCAGAGAGTGTGCCAGAGCATCAGGTGAAAGGAAAAGAAGGAAAGGTGTGGTACATCCCGCATCATGGGGTGTACCATCCTAAAAAGAAAACCCTGAGAGTGGTATTTGACTGTGCGGCAAGCTACAAAGGTGTGTCACTCAACACTAAACTACTCCAGGGACCTGACTTGACAAATTCTTGCTCGGAGTTCGCACAAGGTTTTGCCTAAACTCTATAGCAGTTATGGCTGACATAAAAGCTATGTATCATCAAGTCCATGTGGCAAAACAGGATGTAGACTTTCTTCGCTTCCTATGGTGGCCAAGAGGTGATCTGACACAGCCGCTCACTGAGTACAGAATGACTGTTTGGTGCAATATCATCGCTCAGCTGTGCCAGTTTCGCCCTTAGAAAAACGGCTGAAGACCACAAAGCAGACTTCCCAGTTCATGTAACGGACACCATCAAGCAGAACTTTTATGTGGATGATTGCTTGAAATCCTTGTCTTCAGAGGCAGAAGCCATGTCTTTGGTTACAGACCTGACCGCTCTATGCCAGTTGGGAGGATTCCAACTGCTGAAATGGATCAGCAACAGCAGGTCAGTGTTAGAAGCCATTGATGTGGAGAAAAGAGCCAAGGAAGTGAAAGAACTGGATTTCGACAGAGACAGCCTTCCTGTCGAAAGAACCCTGGGACTGCAGTGGTGCGCAGAAACTGACACCTTTAGGTTCAAGATGGCAGTCCAAGAAAGGCCATTCACAAGAAGAGGTATCCTGTCGGTGGTGAGCTCGGTCTACGACCCCATTGGATTTTTAGCACCCTTCACCTTACCTGTCAAGATAATGCTGCAAAACCTCTGTAAGATGAGCTACAGTTGGGATGAGCACATTCCTCAAAACTACCAGTTGCAATGGGTGGGGTGGCTAAAAGACCTAAGAAGACTCAGCACTTTCAGTGTGCCGAGATGTTTTAAACCCAAAGGATTTGGACAGCTCACAAGTGCCCAACTACATAATTTCTCTGACGCCAGCGAGAACGGCTATGGCACAGTTTCATACTTGAGGCTGCAGAGTGATGATGAGAAGATCCATGTAACTTTCGTTCTCGGAAAGGCATGAGTTGCTCCTCTAAAGAATGTGACAATCCCAAGGATGGAACTAACAGCTGCTGTGCTGGCAGCGAGAGTTGACAGACTCCTGAAAGCAGAGTTGCAACTAGAGCTGGAAAACTCAATCTTCTGGACAGACAGCACAACAGTGTTAAAGTACATCAGGAACGAAACAAAGCGCTTTCACACCTTTGTTGCCAATAGGGTCTCTGCTATAAGAGAAGCCACAGACATCTCACAATGGAGGTACGTTGACACAAAACGGAACCCAGCTGATGAGGCCTCTCATGGGGTGAAAGTTGAACACCTTCTCACTTGCAGCAGATGGATCCATGGCCCAGAGTTTCTTTCCAAGAGTGAAGAGGAATGGCCTCGTAACATCTTGGATTCAACTTCCATCAGCAGTGATGACCCAGAGGTTAGAGGAGAAGTTTCAGTTAATACTGTCATCATTAATGATGCACCAAATGCAACAAATAACATCTCTGATGAAGACTCACAGAATGCAGTAAATCAACTGATAATCCACTTCTCCTCGTGGAAAAGGCTTAAGATCTCAGTTGCGTGGTTTCTCCAGCTGAGAAAGACGTTGCAGTTGTTGAGTCAAAAGAGAAAAGAAATACAAGCTTCTCTGTCCAGCAGTGGACTTGACCCAACTCAACAAAAGAACAAAGAGGAAGAGGACATGAAAAGATTCAGAGCCACAATGGGTGGTCACGTCTTATTTCCTGAAGATATTGACGCGGCAGAAAGTGTCATCATTCAGTACTGCGAAATGGACAAGTTTAGTGATGAAATCACTGCTTTGAAAAAGGGAACATCTGCAGTGAAGAAAAGCAGTCACATTTATAAACTTGATCCGGTGCTGAAACAAGGAATCTTGAGAGTATGAGGTAGGCTTAGCAAAGGAGCAATGCCTGAAGACACAAAACATCCAGTCATTCTTGCTAAGGACCAACATATCGCCACTCTAATCTTACGCCACATTCATGAACAGTTAGGACACTGTGGAACAAATCACCTACTTTCCAGACTTCGTCGATAATACTGGATCACCAGAGCAAATGCTGCTGCTAGAAAGATCCTCTCTTCCTGTGTTGTCTGCAGACGATATAGGGGAAAGCTGGGTGAACAAAAGATGGCAGATTTGCCAAAAGAAAGACTGCAATCTGATCTTCCACCATTCACAAATGTGGGCATTGACTATTTTGGGCCGTTTGAAGTGAAGAGAGGCCGCAGCCTCATCAAACGCTATGGAGTTATCTTCACCTGCATGGCCAGTCGGGCAGTCCATCTGGAAATGGCCTATTCATTGGACACCAGTTCTTGCATAAATGCAATACGCAGATTCATTTCCAGGCGAGGCCAAGTATTACACATCAAATCAGACAACGGAACCAACTTTGTTGGAGCAGAACGTGAGCTGAGAGAAGATCTATCTCATTTGAACCATCAGAAAATTCAAAACTCACTGCTTCATTCTGGAGTGAAATGGAGTTTCAACACTCCAGCCGCATCCCATCATGGAGGAGTATGGGAAAGAGTCATTCGCATGGTCAGGAAAGTGCTGAACTCTATTCTTCATCAGCAACATTTGGATGATGAAGGACTACAAACACTCCTGTGCGAAGTGGAAGCCATATTGAATGACCGTCCCATTACAAAAACCTCAGAGGATCCAAATGATCTCGAACCCCTGACTCCAAATCACATTCTCTTGTTAAAAGGCAAACCTTCTCTACCACCCGGGCTTTTTGACAAAAATGACTCTTACTCCAAACGACGATGGAGGCAAGTTCAATTCCTTGCCAATCTCTTTTGGCACAGATGGATTCAGGAGTATGTACCACTATTGCAAGAGAGACAACGGTGGCCAAAGGACAAGAGGAACTTTGTCACAGGAGACATTGTCATCGTAGCGGACTCTAATGCCCCTCGCGGATCCTGGCTGTTGGGCAAGGTACTGCAGACCTTTCCCGACAGACAAGGACTTGTGCGGTCGGTTAAAGTCCGGACGAAGTACAACATCCAGGAGCGACCAATCACGAAGATCTGTCTTCTATTGGAAGCTGAATAAAGACTGAAACCCAACTTCTATTATTGGGGTTACCAACCCTATTGGATTATCTACATGAACAATGAACATTATGGATTGAGAATACTGATATGGACTATTCTATTTGGCTGAAATGTTTTGTATGTTGTTGAATTGTTATGTTATTATACAGTAACAATTAGGAGCCGGTGTGTTGCAGCCAATTTGATGTATTTTAATATTTGTATATGAAGGTGCTGTGATACTACTGAATTGACCTGGGCATAGGCGGGGGGGGACGTCCGTTTGTGATGACGCTGCACAGCTGATCGTCTGACAGCAGCTCTGTTCCCGTTATTTTCACAAACACCCCTGCCTCTGTTAGTACACATTTACTGACACAAACATTTGTATCATCTGTTGTAAACTCAAATAAATAAAATAAAATAAGAACTAATTCTCAAAAAAGATAAACGCCATTCTTAAAATGTATAAAAGAACAATAGTTTGATTAATATTGATTAGTGTTGCAGCCAATTTGATGTATTTTAATATTTGTATATGAAGGTGCTGTGATACTACTGAATTGACCTGGGCATAGGCGGGGACTCAGCCAATTTCAGGGTACAGCGGCAAGCCTACTATTTAGGGAGGACACAGGTGCACAGCATG